AGTCTAATCTAATCTACCCAGAAGTTCCGTGCTTCGTTAATTAAGATTAAGCAAGGTTAGCCTTAGAAAAAATTAAGCAAGGTTAGCTTAATTAAGGATAAGCAAGGTTGCTTAAATTAAGCAAGGTTAAATTTGGATGGTGATATGTTTTGGATTTCATAGTTTTTTGGTCGGACTATCTGGATTTATGTTGGGTGATCATAATTACTTTGTTGGGGTTATAGTAGTTGAGTTGCTAGCGTGTTGCATGGAAAAGATTGTTTATCAGTTGGGGGACTGTTTTTCGAAATAGATGCATGGAAGTGTGTCGATTGTTTATCATATTAAAGTTTGTTTCTTTGGAAATGAGGAACATGAGAAGGTCAAGGGAATTTTTGCTAGGATGGAAGCATTGGAAAATAGTGATTGGATATGCGTGCATGCATATTGGCTCTTATCACGGAAAGAGGTTTACCCTTTCCGGCCGCAAAGAGGCTTGCCCTTTGCGGCGGTGAAGAGGCTTGCCCTTTGCCTAGGTGCAGACGGTTGCCGTTGGCGTGCGGGAAGGGAACTGCCTTGCCTTGCATTGCGGACGACTTTCCGTAGCTGCTCATTGCGGAAAAGACGCGCGTGTGGTTCGATGATTTGATAAGATAAGTAGGAGTGCGTTAGCGGTTACCTTTCATCAAGATATGTTTTTTTTGCATGAGTTCACGCATACATGTAAAGTTTGCGTTTTTTGGCTTTCAAGCACCAAGGCTTTGCCTGAGCTGCGTTGGGAAGCGGTGGATTCGCGAACAGAGGCTTGCCCGTTCGGTTGGAGGCATTGCCACATGTCGAAGGTTAGGTCGAAAGATTTTTTGGATGGTAAAGATTATGCAAAGATGTTGAAGGGCAATGTACCGGAACTGCGTGATAGCGAATTCAATGTCTTGAGCACGGAGAAGCTTTGTGAGAATTATAGAGATTTCTTAGTGGACGTCGCAGAGAGAACGCAACGAATGAATGAGGGGCCTCTGCGCGACGGTGCTATGAAAGCTTTCGAAATTTCCCCGGCAAAGGGAAATGCTTTCGCTAAGCGGCTGGCGCAGGCATTTTCTCCAATGGCAAGCGTTTGTCGCCGGCGGTTGCAGCAGTGGTGCAAGTTTTGGTAGCGCGGAAGAGACAGGCAGCTCGTCTCAACGTGCAAAAGACTGTGAAAAAAGACAGTGGAACGGTAGGGAAGCGACGGAGTTCCATTAGCACCACTTTGTCCAGTCCTCCTCCGGTGTCCCTCGACAACACGGTGAAGTTACCACTGCCAGGAACACCAGACAAAGCATCGAAGCTCCGTACGCCGGAGAAACCACGAAAACAAGTTTGCAAAGATGCTTCGCCACTGTGGTCCCTACCAGGTACTCCGGCGGACACCCCACAGCGTGGCATGCCCGCGAAGGGCGCGTCGCAAGGCTTGCCTGCGTCAGCGGCAAAGGCAGCGACCGAGGCGGCTTTGGTCCCCCGACGTCGCACCCCTTTGAAAAAGCCTGCCGCAAAGGCATCCGCCGAGGAGGCTTTGGTCCCACTTCACACCCCTTTGAAGCGGCCAGCTGCGCAAAGCGGTCCCCACCACGCCGCGCGCGGCATGAAGCGCCCTGCACGGGCGGAGCCAAGCGACCCAGAAGCACCGCTCCATAAGGTGACGGTGGTGACAACAGTGAAGTCACTCCCCATCCGTTCGTACGTGCAAGCGTGCACTGCGACGCCGCATGGTTCGAAGAGGTTGATTGCCGAATTTTCCTCCGCACAGTGCAGCAACCATGCGGAGTTGGCTCAGAAGGTCAAAGCGACGATCGAAACGGAGCGCTTGGGTTACAGCGCGGCTCGACGATTACGCGAACAATACCTGCAGCAGCAGGCAAAGTGAAGTCTGAGGCATGTCCCAGAGAAGGTTTGCCGAGCCATGTATGGTTTTTGCCTGTCGGGACCTTTCTCTGGCCAAGCTTAGCGTCAATTTTGGATCCACGGCTTGGAACGGAATCATCTGCGCAGTCTGCTGAAAAAGGTATGTTGTTCGGAGTCTTTTCTGTCACTATATCAGATAATCCCGCATGACTTCTGCATCGGTCATATGCCATGGTTTCTCTTGCTACTTTGGCGCCACGTCAACGCCATTTTCTCGTGTTTGTCTTTCTGCAGGTCGAGCATGTCTGCAAGACATGGGAACACTTCGACACTTCGAACGTTCGCTTGGCTCAAGGCAGTCTCTGCGTCGCCCCGTGGTTTTTTTCCGCGTGCCGGCAATCTGCGCGGCATGACCCGCACCTTCCTGAGGAACGGCGATGCCTTCCTATCGCCTCGTCCAACAGGCGAGGCATGGCCCGCCTGCGATGCTGGCCTTTCCGTGTACATAGCGGCGTCGCACACTTCATTTTCTGCTTGCGTGCAAAACAACCGGGGCCGAGCTCAGAGAGGTTTAGTGGATGTTCTGGAGACTTGCTTTGATGGTGTTGGCACAGATTTGACATCGGAGTCGTTTTCATACTCTTGGGGACATGTGTCAGGGTAGTGCTTCTAATAGGCTTGTGTTGACACTGTCATCCGCAGCTCTTTGCGGCTTCGTTTTCCAGGGAAATTTTGCCACGAGGCTTGTCCCATGGCGAGATCTGCGCGAAATGGCTGACTCCGGTGACCACATCATCGCGTACATGGGGCCATTGCAGTTACCGAGTGGCGCTGGCTATCTGACGAACCAGCGCGACGAAATCATGCGTGAGTTCGGCGTCACTGCCGTCGTGAGAACGCGGCAGCAATGGGGCTGCAGCGCTCTGAGTCTGTCGGGACCTGTGCATCAGCTTGCAGCTGCTAGACGCCGCTGCATGGAGATGCTGCAGGTGGAACAATTGCTTGACATGAACAGAAGCAAAGCGGGTCCGGAAAGACAGGTGCTGCGGCAACGCACTGCGGACATGGATGCTCGGTCGCCCAGACGCATGGAGGCCTGCATGGATCGCCCGTCTCGGAGGCATGCCCCGAAGCAGCAGCAAGGTGGCAAGGCACATGGCAAAGGAGACGATCGTCCTGCGGTCGCTTCCACGTCAAGCAGCGCCGCTGCCACGTGGGCCGCAGCAAGCTCGCATGGTTGGGGTTGGTCGTGGACACCGACGTGGAACTATGGATATGGCTATGGTTGGTGGCAACCACACGGGGGGCCGCCGCCAGGACCACCACCCGTTGCCAACCCGGCCTGGTCCGCAGTGCCGCCAGCCGAGCCACGGCCAGGCCGGACCGCTACAGAGGCTGCCAGCGGCAAATGGCCACCTGCTAAAAGGCCACCGGTGCCACCACCAGGACTGCGCGCTGACGGGGGCAGCCGGACGGCACGACCTGCGCGCAGTCCTGAGACAGACGACATGGAGGAGGTGGAAGTGGAGGATGAGGACAGCAGCAGCTCCATGCCCAGTCCCCAGACTGTGCCCCCCCGGGGCAAGGCAGCCACACCCGCCCAGACGCGGTCAAACGCTGCGGTGGCATGCCCCGCGGTGCCACCCTCGCAGCCTGCGGCGGCTTGCCCCGCAGCAGCACTTTGATGTTCTTGGGGCTTGCTAACATGTTATGGCACTTACAGCATTTATCTAAGTAGTTGTTAAGTTTCTAGTAACATGCTATGAACTAGTTATAACTAGTTATAATTCATATAATCCATTATAATCCATCTATCTTTTTATGATGTTTAGCTAATGTTTTTAAACATTATGCTAATCATGATAAACAACATAAACAATTAGCAATTTTAGTAAATAGTTAGCTAAAAACACATTTAAAAAATAGAAGGTTTAAAACCATGATTTTTTGATGTTGGATTGAACATGTTCAAGGTTGGAACTTTTTTTCCTGGCATGTGCAACCTTATTTTTTTTGTTTTTTTTCCATCTCAATTTGTGTTTTTTCTTCCTTGGGCATACAGGACTCAGGCCTTCCAAGCTTCCACGGTCCAGCTTGAAGCTGCTGTCTCATATAGGATCAGCCAGCACAAAATTCACAATCCAGCTGCTGGAAAGTGCTCTTTCATGAGATCAGCTAGTACAAGCTTGCACAACCCAGCTCCTATAAGCTCCTGTTACACCTTGGGAATTTCAATGCTTGGATGTTTCTCATTGCTGCTTCAAGGCTCAAGGCACTAACTTCCCTGTGGCCATGGAAGCCTCCCCTGAGGTTGTGGACTATACCATTGGGAGCAATGTGAATGGCTCCTACTTCCTGGCTTACTTCAGCGATGGCAAAAGCAGGCCTCTCAGAAAGCCAGCCTCCACAGCTGAGATTCAAACTGGTTGGTGTGAAGGTCATGCTGGGAGGTGGAGGAAAGAGCATGGCAAGCCAGTGGAGACAATTGGCATCAAAGAGCTGTCCCAGCTTCTGCTAATGAATGACCTGCTGGTTGCTGGCGAAGCTGTGCAGAAATGGTTCTGCTGAAGCCAAACCAAAAACTTTTGGGAGAAGTGCTAAAAAAAGTTCTGCTGGCTGGATGGTTCTTTTCTTCAGTTCCTCCAAGCTTGGCTTGTAGCTTGTGCAAGCTCAAATTTCTCAGCCTGTGCAGGCTTTAGTGCTGCCAGCTTGTGCAAGCTCAAATTTCTCAGCCTGTGCAAGCTTTAGTGTTAACAACCTTTGCAAGCTCAAACTTCTCAGCCTGTGCAGGCTTTAGTGTTACAACCAGCTTTTACATGCTCAAATTTCTCAGCCTGTGCAGGCTTTAGTGTGACCAGCTTGTGCCAGCTCCAAACTTACACAGGTTCAGTACCAAAAGTTCACACCTTGCAGGCGCATGGCCCAAACATTGGAAGCCATGCGTGGCAGCCATGGCAGCAACAGCAATGAAATCAGAATGAGCATGGCATATGTTTTGTTAGCAGCATATGCATTGGTGAAGGGAAAAGCCATTGTTCTGTTTGGCATGCAGTTCCTTTCACTTGAAACAAAGCTGTAGCTGAGCAATGTCTTCGCAATGGTCCAAGGACATAAAAGTGATGCTGGAGGATTCCAAAGGGATGCAAATTTTGGAAAAAGCAGGAATGGCTTGGAACACCAAAATCAAACCCAAGGATGTGTTGATTCACACCACAAACAGGGGAGGCCACTTAGTCAACCCATATGATGTGGTGTCCAAAGGGCAATCCATATCTGAAGTTGGATGGGATGCGAGCAAAATTAGATCACCAGTGGCTGTCCAAATCCCACATGTTGGTGACAAAAAGGATGCCATATTTTCAGCAAACAAGCAGCTGAGTGAGCAATCAAGTGGCATGCTGGCAAAACCTTCGGGGCAAGAGACAGTGGCCTCAATCAGTGCAAGCCACACCACTGCCTTTTTGAAGGCCTTGGAAGCTGGCTGCAAACTTCCTGATGACCTGGCTTTGGAGAAGTTTCAGAATGGGAATGATGATCTGCAGCAATTGGTTCAAGAAGGCTGGCTCTGGACTGTGATTTCTTCCAAAGTTGAAGAAGAAGTTCCTTCACTGCTGGCAGTTTTACAGCAAGCTTACAACAGCCACTCAGTCAGCACTTTCACAGAATTTTGTTCTTCCACCCAAAAATTCAAAGCAACATATACGGTTTTCAGCATCCAATTGCCATGTAGAGGTGAGCATGGTCTGGTGAAGGCCCCCAATGAATTGGAAGTTGCATTGACAATTGCAACTTTCTACAAGATGCAAGCTGCTTCAGAGAAGGATTTGGATAAAGCAGTGGCACAAGCAGCTGCAAGCAGCTGCTTAACTTGCAGGCCACCCTGCAAAGGGTACATCAAGGCAGTGGGCGACTTTGTGGCTTCATATTCAGGAGGAGAGTCATTTAAATTGCTGGAATATTTGGATCTCATTGGCACCTCGGCTTCACAAAGCACATGACATATAGCCCATGCAGGCTTCTGCTCACAGACATGTAGCTTGCACAAGCCCAAGCAACACAGCCAATTTCAGGCTCAAATGTTTGGTGCTATCCAGCTTGTTCAGCTAAGGCAGGCAATTTGGAAATTCGACAAGGTTTGGTGAGGAGTTCACACAGCTTCTTGCCTACTGTGACTGGAAGCAGCAAACTACAACTTTCCCTTTTCTGAGACTTGCACTGGCTTGCTGCCAAGTGACAGCCCCTAAGTCTTGTCAGAAAGATGGCTTCTCCAGGATGATCACAAAAGCTGATTTTGACAAGCTGAAGAGCAAGAAAGTCATGCCATCAGTTCTGGCTGCTGAGAACTTGATGCTGGCAGCATGGGATGTGGTTGAAAAATCAGCTTTGGGTCTGTCCAAAGCAGCATTGCCATTTGGCAAGTTCCAGATTTGTTGGTTTTGCATTTGCTGCAAAAGGAAACCAAAGGGTGGGAGGGAACTTGCTACCAGGATATGGCTGCAATCAAAACAAAGTTTGAGGAGGACATTGCGAATTGTGCAACACAAGCTGCTGCAACTTCTTCAGCACCTACACATGGAGAAGCTGGCGAAACAAAGGGGACTGTCAAGAGTTTAGCTGAAGCCAGCAATTCAAAAGCCATTGCTTTGCAATCCCACAAGCACATCAAAGTGGACAAGCTGTACACCTTGAAAAATGAGCCTGCAAAGGTGTGGAAGTTGCTGGAGCTGACAGAAACAGTTGCAAAGCTGTCTCACAGACCTTTCTTCGCTGACAAGGACGAGCTGAAGGAAATAAAGTTCTCTGACTTGAGGAACTTGAAAGAATGGATCAAAGATGCACCCCAGCTGATTGATGAAGCAGGGCTGGCCACACTCCTCCCTTGCAACTCTGCTGCCTTGGAAGAGGAATTGGGCAAAGCTCAGGCTTATTGTGCTTTGGTTGGGAAGTACCAAGAGCTCCCAAGCTGCATTTGCACATTGAACATGCAAGTTTGTTAAATGACTTTTCCATCATTGCTTTTGTTTGGGCAACTCAGGCTTGGAGACATGAATGTCAAAGTGTCCAACCAGCACCAAATTTTTGCAGGTGCCAAATTCACCAAAGGGAAGTTGATTTTGCTGCCTCTGGGTAGCTTGCAAGTGCTTACAGTCGACAAGGTCCAGAAGCACCACTGCATCATGACATGCACTTCTTCACCCAATGTCAGGTACTTGGTCCAGCCTTGGAAATGTGATTTCTCCAAAAAGTCTGGGCTGTTCTGCCCCTATTGGATGGTGAAAGAAGGCCCTAATGCTGATGAGAGTTGTTTGCAGAAGCATTCGATCAAGGTAGGCACCTTGACTATTCCATGCTTCACCAACAAGAAGGTTGTTGAAAAGGGCACGCCCCTTTTGGTGGAACCAGCAGAAGAGCAAGGTGCCAAGAAGAAGAAGGTGGCCACTTGACTGTGCTATAATCGCTGAACCCAAGGCATGGTGAAAACATGTCGCAAGCTTGCTGATTCAGCTTTTGCCTTAGCCTGTGCAGGCTCATGTTGAACCTCCACCTGCCTTGCCCATAGCTTTGAGAATCTTGCTGGTTTTGGCAATCAGGCTGTAGCATTTGCTGGATAGGATTTACCTCTGCAGTTTTTGGAAGCCATGGAAATTTTCGAAGAAGTTTCCCTGTGCTACAGGGATGGCCCTAAGGTGTATGTTCCATCAGGGCTCCTTCATGTTGACAAGGAAGGTAAAAAATGGTTGAGACTCAGAGCTTCCAATGTTGGCATTGCAAAGCTCATCCTCGGGCATCTAGATGAATTCAAAAACCTGCAGAACCCAAGTTTGGCAGCCAGTCCACAGCTGAAAGTGCTCATGGATTTGGTGAAGGAAGCTGTGAAGTCTGTGGCTGAAGGTGACAAGTCAGGGGAAGAAGCCAGCATGTTTGATGATAGCAGCAAAGAAGCCCCTCACATGAAACCACCTTGTTGGAAACAGCTCTTTCATGATGCCCCAGAGACAGTCACAATTCAAGTGGGAGAAGTTCAAGTACCAGTGAAAACACCAAGATCGCTGAAAGAGACAGACTTGGTCATTCCTTTGGAAGCTACAATTCTGACTGCAGTTTGTGACTACATCATGGAAGATGCTTCTGATTGCCTGGCCAAAGGCCAAAAGAGGCAATATAATCAAACTGGCAAATATGCTAAAAAGATAGCAAAGGAAGAAGCAAAGTGACCCAGAGCTGCTGCAACTGCAAAAAAGTGTGCAGCTGCAGGTGCAGCCATTACAAGCTCAAGATATAGCCACTACGGGCTGAAGGTGTGTAGCCATTCCAGGCTCCAAATGTATAGCCATTACAGGCTCAAGATGGGTAGCCACTACAGGCTTAATTCATGTAGCCACTACAGGCTCAATAGCTTGCCAATACAAGCATGATGTATCTCTGGTCCAGGAACCCTAGTGCAATTTCTGCAGGCATTGCACCTCAAGCAGTGCCTTCACATATGGAGGGCCACAGAGGGCCTCGCGACTTTTGGGAAAAGTGGGCTTCTGAGCTGGATGTGGCTTGGCTGCTTGTGTTGTCCTCTTGGGTGTTCATGTTTTTTGGTTGGCACAATATTCATTTTCCAAAGCAGCCCAGGCAGAATGGGAAGAGCAAGAGTGGTACAAAGAGCAAGCATCCAAACCTGAAGTCAAAGAGGACAGCTTCAATCCCATTGTAGTTTCAAAGAAAACCTTTTTGTTTCCACATTGCAGGAACAATATGAATGGGTAAAGGAAGAAGTGAAAGAGGAGGATGAAGCCACAGTATCTTGTCTTAGTTTAAACTCGCTGGTGTTGCATCATTGTTTTTCTTCATGCTGAGGAACCTCCAAGCCCACCAGAAGCCACCACAGAGAAGGAGCCTTGGGCTGTGTTGAAAAGCTGCAAGTCCAAGCAATGTACCTGTTTAATTTTCACAGGACTCTGAAAGGAAGAAGAAAAGATTGCCACAACCGGTTTCTTTGCTGCATCAGCAGGCACAGACTCATGCATTCACATGCTTCTGCCACATTCAGCCCCATACAGGCCCAAAAATGATGCCAGTTTTCAATTACAGCCTGTACAGGCTTTGATTGTTGTTACAAGTTGCCTTTGCAATGCTGATGTATTTTTTGGTGAAGCTTAGGTGATGGAGGCAAGCTCCAAGGCAAAAGTCAAGAAGATCACTGCAACAAAACCACCTGCTGTTGCAAGTGCTCCAAGTTCCTCAAGTGGAGTCAAGATGGAGGATTCTGATGAAGAGCTCACCAGGAAGCTCTTGGAGGCTGTGGCTGGCCACCTTCCTGCACCACCTCCTGCAGCAGCTGGTTCGCCTCCTTGTCCTGCAGCTGGGGCCCCATCAGCTTCCACATCTTGGTGGGCCTCCTATGACTGGAATGCTGGTGGTTTCTTTGTGGGTGATGAGTGGTGGGAAAAAGATGCAGAAGAGGAAGGTTTGTGGTGGCGATGGAAGCAAGGAAAAAGCTGGTCAAGGTTCAGAGACCAAACTGTTTCTTGGCATTTCTTAGCTTCAACATCTTGAAGGTTGGCAGTGCATAGTTTTTTGAACTGATTCAGAATGTATCAGTGAGGATCCAGATGGCAAGAAGGTGAGTGGCTGGCTGGCCAAGACTTGCGCTGTGATCCACATGTATACCATGAAGGACCAGGAGGGCATGGAGCAAGCTCTGAGCAGACTGAGTGGCCACCATGCTATGAGGGAACCACTTCGGAAACCCAACAGAGAATTCAAACAGGAAGGCAAAAATGCCTATAAGAAGTGGCTGTAGAAAACGACCTGGCTGCAACAGATGGACTGCAACAGATGGAGGTGAAAAGCAGGTGAGCACATTCAGCCTCTACAGGCTTCAGTTGTTTTCTGTGTTTTATGTTGTCACTACAGACAATTCAAACAGCCTGTGCAAGCTCAACAATATGCTGTCAAGATTTAGAGTCTCTACTGACTGCATGGAAATGCATGTCTCAATTCAATGTTGTGTATATAGTTGTTGCTCAAGAAAATCAGTGCCAAGAAAGATCAAACATGTTGGCAAAAAGTTTCAATTTTCTTAAATTCTCATGTTCAGAGCTCATATTTTCAGAATATATATCTTTACAAAACTGAAGAAACTAATATCAATTCATTTTTTTGAATTGAACATTGGAAACTTCAAATTTCAATTCAAAATTTTGAATTGAACATTGAAAGCTTCAAATTTCAATCCAACATTTTGAATTGAAAATTGAAGACTTCAAATTTCAATTCAAAATTTTGAATTGAAAATTGAAAGCTTCAAATTTCAATTCAAATTTTTGAATTGAAACTTGAAGATTAGGGATTCTCTCATACATTTTCATAATTTGTTTCTTTGCAAATTTTGCAACCTTGTCAGCCATGGCCAGAGCTGCTGACTTCAATTTGGAAGTTGCAAACCCTTTCATTTTGGGAGACATCATTCTGGATGGAGATGAAGATTCTCAGGTGACAGTTTGGGAGAATGGAGCTCCCACAACATGGGCATTACAATTTGCCAAATGGAGAATCTACTTCAATGTTCCACTTCCAGATGATATTGAAGTAGAACCTGAAGAAGCCCCTGAAGAGGGTCCAGGGTCTACATCTTCAAGCTCACCTTCCCAAGACTCTACCAATCAGAAGGGCAAGAAGAGGTTGGCTGAAGAAGCAGGTTTGGAGATGAATTAGATTGAAGACATGTTTCTTTTTGAAACATTCTTAGTGCAATGGCTGCATTTTTGCTTGTCTACCTTGCTTGTGACTGCATTGCAGCAGCCAGGCATTAAGCTAATTGATTGGGAAAATTGCTTTTTGTGCCTGTGCAGGCATGTGTGTGACAACCTTTAAGGGCTTATGTTTACTATTACCAGCCTTTGCAAGCTTTGTGCCCATGCTTGTAGAAGCAATCAGACATACAAGACATGCAATAGCAGGTGCATACTTCAAATGGATTAGAATGCCTGTGTAGGCAAGCAGTTGTAAGGTTCAAAAACTTTTGGGATGCTTGTAGCATTTTGACTGCTCAAGCCTGGGGGTAGCACACTGTCCTGGCAGCATGTCTTGGACACCCAATGACATCAGAGCAGAACTCCATTCCATCTCCAAGTTGCTATCTGCAAGACCTGGAGTTTTCGACTTGGAGGTGAAGCTGTGCACAGCTTTGAAGAGAAAACTGCAACTGATGTCCAATGTGTCCAGCACTGACCTGGTCCTTTGCTACGATGCTTTGAAAGAAGCAAATCTTCCTCAAACTATGCATTGTGAATTGATTGCTGTCCTGGACAAGCTGGCTGTTGAAGAAGTGGAGGTCAAAACAGCTGGCAAAGTGATCCAAGGGGCACAGGACTGCAGGACTTTCTACAAGTATTTGACAGAGGAGGACATCAGTGCATTGCAGAAAAGCAATATGTGGGAAGGCTGCACTACTGTTGCAAAACGAATGAAGTTGCTGGGTATCAGGGGAATGAAGGAAAACCTGAAAAGACTTGCCCTGTGGAATTCTGGTTTGGCATGAGCAGCAAAGAACCAACAAGCTGCCCATTCCAGATTCTGTGTACAATCTCTCCCAACATCTGGTGCACACCTTGCAGACTGTTGCAATGGAAGTGCCTGCCAGTGCTTTGAGTTTGGCACAGTACCCTGATGACCCAGGGAGTTTGAGTAGTAGCCATTTTGATGCTTCCTTTCAAGGTGGAAAGCCTATGAAGGCAGACTTTCCAGGCTTGGCTGGCCTCTTGAACTCCAAGGTTGTGCCTGTGAGGTTGTGCCTGTGAGGATGTCCAGTGCTTCTGTCACCTTGGGGAAGGACCCTTGTCTTTTCAAAGCCTGGCAAATTTTCTTTTGTGCTGCTTGCATGGTCTGCAACTGATCAGCCTGTACAGGCTCATGTATGCACATTGGTTTTTGTTTCATTTTTTTGCCAAGGAGAATGTGCCACCAACTACATCTCCAAAGCAGCAAGTTGAGCCTGCACCTCCCAGTTCTCATGCCCTTGTTGACACAATGATGTGCAGGCTGCTTCAACAATTCAATGCTGTTGGAAACAGCATCCTTGCTGGCAATGGTGTGAAAATAGAATACTTGCAGACTGGGGCTTCTCAAGATGCTGCAAATTCTGGTGCAAGTTCTGCAGGGTCTTTGCCTTTGCCCATTGAAGCACCTACCTCAGTCACTGTTCAGCAGCCTGCTGTCTCAGCAGCCCCTCCTTCCCAGAGCGAAGTCAAAGCAGGGTCCCACAATGATGCTGCTGAAGCTGTCAATGACCAAAAGACTTTGGAGGACTATGAAAACGAAAACATGCAAAAGTTGCTGGACAGGGATGACAAAAAGACTGCTAAAGGCAGAGGCAAAGGTGCTAGTAAAAACACTGCTGCCAAAGGCAGAGGTGGTGGAAAAGGAAGAGGTGTTAGAAAACTTTGCGAAGGCAAGCCCAAGGGTATGAAGAGACCAGCTGCCAGTGTAAGCTGCAGCCACCGAAGTAGCAAGTCACTGCAGTCAGTAGGCTGCTCCAAGTGCAGAGGAAGTGGGTGCACACAGTGCAAGAATCCTGCATTCCAGGGGCAGATGTTTTCCAAGGATGAATGGGCCACAAGAGCCAAAGTCATGAAGCTGAAATAAAGCTTTGCGATCCTTCAAGAATGAAGGCTGGGGTTGTTGGATGTTTCTCAAAGAAGAACATCCTGCTGGGTAAGTTTACACAGCTTAAGGACTGTGCTGGAACATCTGACAAGGTGACATCAGGTTGGGGCTTCCAAAATGAGGGAAAATCTTTGCACCCTTTATAGGCGTGTTTTGCTACAGCCTCTGCAGGCTCATGTGCTCTCAAGCCTGTGCAGGCTCATGTCACATCTGCATGCCAATGCAGGCTCATGTGCGCAAGTTTGTTCAGAATTCCATAATAACTTCTTTTTGCTGGTTGTCTGCCCATTCCTGCAGCTTCAGTTTCCCCAACTTCACCCTTTCAATCCATAATAACTTCTTTTTGCTGCTTACCTGCACATTCCTGCAACTCCAGTTTTCCCAACTTCACCCTCTCATTCCATAATAACTGCTTTTTGCTGGTTGTCTGCACATTCCTGCAGCTCCAGTTTTCCCAACTTCACCCTTTCTTTTTGCTGGTTGTCTGCACATTCCTGCGGCTCCAGTTTCCCCAACTCCACCCTTTCAATCCATAATAACTTCTTTTTGCTGCTTGCCTGCACATTCCTGCAACTCCAGTTTTCCCAACTTCACCCTCTCATTCCATAATAACTGCTTTTTGCTGGTTGTCTGCACATTCTTGCAGCTCCAGTTTTCCCAACTTCACCCTTGCTTTTTGCTGGCTGTCTGCACATTCCTGCAGCTCCAGTTTTACAACTTCACCCCATTGAGCCAGTGATGGCAAGCTTCAACTTCTTCACATGCAAGGCTTTTGGCACAGCTAGAACTCGCCAATTTGTTTTTCAGCAGCTTCATTTCAAGGCAGTCACTTGTGACAGCATGCAAGCCAGTTTGACAAAGAAATAGGTAGGAGGAAGCATACACAGCTGACCACAGCAACTTTATTGGATGACTACTTGAATTCAAGCTATACCATGTTTCTGTAGCTGCTGCAGCAAAGCCATGCACCCTTTCAATGCACCATGGAGGATGGTGGTGAACCTTCCAAAAGGAGGAAAATCAGTGACTTGAGAAATGCTGTGCCTTATTGCTCACAGAGTGCTTTGAGTTTGATCTGTAAGGAAATTGAGAAGCATGGCTTGCCAGACCAGAAGAGAAGGCAAGACATTTGGAAAGAAAACAAAGACTTGCTGGAAAGCACTGCAATGTGCAAATATGGTCCTCTTTTGCAAACAATGGCTGCACAAGTGCTGCCAGAAAAGCAGAGCATATCAGGTGCTTTGGAGACAGGCTCACACTTGGAGATCTTCTATGTGAATATTCTGCCCTTCTTGGCTGGTGTGTGCCACAAATGTGGTTCATTTACTGATTGGCTGCTCAAATTCCACAGTCTGAAGCCTTCAAGTGCCACTCAGCCATGGAAAGCCGTGGTGTATGTGGATGAAGTCCACCCAGGAAACATCCTCAACAGCAGTGGGAGAAAAGCATGGTGTTGCTACATGTCGTTTTTGGAGCTAGGATCCATGCTGTCCAAAGAAGACCTTTGGATTTGCCTCTTTGTTGTGAGGAGCTCAGAAGTTCAGCTACTGGAAGCAGGCATCAGCCAAGTAGTTCGACTCTTACTTGAAAGGCTTTTTGCTCATGATCAGCCTCAAACTGGTGTGCTGCTTTCAAGTGCCAAGGGAAATGTGAGACTTTTTTTACACTGGGAATGTTTTTGCAAGATGGAGCTGCTCAGAAGGCTGTTTGGGCAAACCGCCAAGACAGTGGTTCAAAGCCTTGCATGTTGTGCAAGAACCTTTTTCATTTAAGGCATGACCATGGTGAAGGTGAACCAGCTGACAAAATATTCAGCCAGTATGTCAAATATTCCCAGCTAGACATTGCCAAAGATGATGAACTCCTGGAAGCCTGGTCCAGGATAGAAGCCAAGAGCAGAACTTCCACAGCAAAGGAATTCCAGAGATGGCAGCAAGCTTCAGGCATTTCTTGGAGCCATCATGCATTGATGGCAAGCCCAGCCTTGAAAGCAGCAGGCTTGCTGAAGCCTGCTTCCCTCTACTGCTTTGATTGGATGCATGGGTTGTGTTCCAATGGGGTTCTCAATGACATTGTCTTTGCAGTTTTGGAGAGCTTAGATGCAGCTGGATACAAAGTTTGGGACACTCTTCATTCTTGGTTGGCGCTGTGGGTTTTGCCTCAGCAGCAAAGCAGCTTTAATCTGTCAAAGCTTTTTGAAAAGCCAAAGGCTGCAAGCTGCAGGAAAGCTAGGCATTTCAAATGCTCAGCTTCTGAGATGTTGACTTTGTACAAACCTTTGCAATATTTTCTTGAAGTGATGTTTTCAGCCAACAATGTGATGCTTGAAGTTTGTGCATGCTTTGATGCTTGGGCACAGGTGTTGGACTTTTTGGTCTCTATCCCACATCTTCCAAATGCTTTGCCTGCAGATTTGTTGACCTTGGTTGAAAATGCATTGGAAGCAACAAAGAATGCTGGATATGGTGAAGAGATGAAACCCAAGCACCATTGGACATTGCATTACAGTGATTGCTTTGGGCGCTGGAGGCAGATGCCTGCTTGCTGGGCAGGCAGATGCCTGCTTGCTGGGCAATGGAGAGGAAGCACAAGCTCCCCAGGAGGTATGGCAGTGCACATTGCAATTTGTCAAGCTTTGACAAAGGCGTTTTGACCTCAGTCACTGTTCAGCAGATCCATACTTTGCTCAATGACACAGACCTTTTCAATACAAGTTGCCATCTGATCAACCCTCGACCACTACCAAAGAAACTGGTGGAAAAGCTGAAGGAGCTCAATTTCTTTTTTGAAGGACTGCAAAGTGCAACTGAATGCAAGCTTGCCTCTGGGTCTTCTTGCTCACTTGGGGATGTTGTGTTCTTGCAAGGTGGCATGGGTGGCTTCCCTTGGAGGTGTGGCAAGGTGAAGCACCTCTTGCTTGCTGGAGTACAAGTGTGCTTATTGGAAATGTTCACATTCATTGACACGAAGGGCAAGCATGCAACCATGTGGCACAGCTCAACTGATTGCTTGGAACTCGCCCTGCTTGAAGAATTGGTGCAGCCAGTGGTTCACAACTTTGGGAAGAATGGCAAAGTAACATGTCTGACCCCAGCACCACTTTCATGCTTTAAATGACAAAACCATGTGCTGCAGCTAGCTCGTTGCAATACAGCTTCTACAAGCTTGGATGAACTTAGCTTCTGCAAGCTCAGTGGTCTCAGCTTCTGGCAGCTCAGTGAATTGATGCAAGGGCATGTCAGCTTTAGCTTGTGCAAGCTCAATACAGCCCTTCCTGGCTTCTACAAGCTGCCTTTCCAGCTTTTGAAAGCTCATATTTCAGCTTCTGCAAGCTAGATATTTTGCATGCAGCCTTGGAAAAAATGAACCTGGGGCCTATGCATGCACAAGTTTCACAAGACCCAAGATTTGAATATTCTTGGCCTGAATCTTGCAAAGCAGATTAGCTAAGGTGTCAAAAAATGGTTGGGCCTTTGAACATTTGAATGCCCAGCTGTCATATTAAAAAAAATTACTCTACTTCGTGTGATCCCCACCATGACATGTCAGGACGTATATTTGGACATATATTTAGTATATTCTGACATCCTATCTGACATATATTCTGGCATTCTATCTGGCATATATCCTGACATTCCACCTGGCATTCTATCTGGCAGTCTATCTGGCATTCTATCTGACATATTTTCTGACATTTCATCTGACATATATTCTGGCATTCTACCTGTCATTTATTCTGACATATATTCTGGCATTCTATCTGACATATATTCTGGCATATATTCTGGCATTCTATCTGACATATATTTTGGCATTCTATCTGACATATATTCTGGCATATATGTTGGCATTCTATCTGGCATTATATCTGACATATATTCTGGATTCTATCTGACATATATTCTGGCATATATTCTGGCATTCTATCTGGCATTATATCTGACATATATTTTGGCATTCTATCTGACATATATTCTGGCATATATGTTGGCATTCTATCTGGCATTATATCTGACATTCTATCTGACATTCTATCTGGCAGTCTATCTGGCATTCTTTCTGGCATTCTTTCTGGCATTCTATCTGGCATTCTATCTGGCATCCTATCTGACATTCTATCTGGCATTCTATCTGGCATTCTTTCTGGCATTCTTTCTGGCATTCTATCTGGCATTCTATCTGGCATCCTATCTGACATTCTATCTGGCATTCTATCTGGCAGTCTATCTGACATTCCTACATGAGGTCCGGCAGGGAACACTTGGCATGGATACTCGCGGTTGAGGTCCGGCAGGGAACACTGGGCGCGGATGGTCGTGGTTGAGGTCCGGCAGGGAACACTGGGCGTGTATGGTCGTGGTTGAGGTCCGGCAGGGAACACTGGGCGTGGATGGTCGTGGTTGAGGTCCGGCAGGGAACACTGGGCGTGGATGGTCGTGGTTGAGGTCCGGCAGGGAACACTGGGCGTGGATGGTCGTGGTTGAGGTCCGACAGCGAACACTGTGGATCGCGAGTCGCAGTTGAGCAGGAGGACGAGGAGGAGAAGGAGGAGGAGAAGGAGGAGAAGGAGGAGGAGGAGGCAACTGACATAAAATCTAACAACCCTCACCTGGCAGGTGGGGAAAAAACTGACCATGTGCAATCTTTTTGAAATCCAAAATGAAAAAAACAAGGCCGAGAGCTATGTTTTTTCAAAAAGCTAACTAGTTAGCTAACTAGTTATAAATAGTTATGAAATAGTTAGCTAAACATCTTAATTGCCATAACATGTTAGCAAGCCCCCAGAACATCAAAGTGTGGAGCCGCTGCGCAGCCTTTTAAGGCGGCCAAACGGCACACTTGAACCCCCAAGAAAAGAGTCTGCCGGCACAGGTGGTGGCCACAGCAGCGCGTTTGCAAGCTGTGTGGAGCCGCTGCGGTGGTGGCCACAGCAGCGCGTTTGCAAGCTGTGTGGAGCCGCTGCGGAGCCTTTTAAGGCAGCCAAACGGCACACTTGAACGCGCAAGAAAAGAGTCTGCCGGCACAGGTGGTGGCCACAGCAGCGCGTTTGCAAGCTGTGTGGAGCCGCTGCGCAGCCTTTTAAGGCGGCCAAACGGCACAATTGAACCCCCAAGAAAAGAGTCAACCGGCACAGGTGGTAGAGCGTTTGCAAGCTGTGTGGAGCCGCCGCGGAGGGTTTACACCGTTTAGGGCGGCCAAATGGCACACTTGAACAGTCTGCCGGCACAGGTGGTGGCCACAGCAGCGCGTTTGCAAGCTGTGCGGAGCCGCTGCGGAGGGTTAGCCCCACACCAAAGGTGGTCCCAGGCGCCGCCCTGCCTAGGCCACAGCTAGGACAGGGTCGGCGGATAAGGTGTCATATATTTTGGGGAATTGGGCACTTCTGAGAATTTTCAAACGTAAGAAACTAATTAAGAACATTTAGGAAGTAAAAGAACAACTTTAGCAAAGGAAAAGGTAAAGGGATTGTTTGAAACAAAACCACCCCAGGAAGCATCTGGACACAATAGTGTACCTTGAAAACATGTCGCAAGCTTGCTGATTCAGCTTTTGCCTTAGCCTGTGCAGGCTCATGTTGAACCTCCACCTGCCTTGCCCATAGCTTTGAGAATCTTGCTGGTTTTGGCAATCAGGCTGTAGCATTTGCTGGATAGGATTTACCTCTGCAGTTTTTGGAAGCCATGGAAATTTTCGAAGAAGTTTCCCTGTGCTACAGGGATGGCCCTAAGGTGTATGTTCCATCAGGGCTCCTTCATGTTGACAAGGAAGGTAAAAAAAAATGGTTGAGACTCAGAGCTTCCAATGTTGGCATTGCAAGGCTCATCCTCGGGCATCTAGATGAATTCAAAAACCTGCAGAACCCAAGTTTGGCAGCCAGTCCACAGCTGAAAGTGCTCATGGATTTGGTGAAGGAAGCTGTGAAGTCTGTGGCTGAAGGTGACAAGTCAGGGGAAGAAGCCAGCATGTTTGATGATAGCAGCAAAGAAGCCCCTCACATGAAACCACCTTGTTGGAAACAGCTCTTTCATGATGCCCCAGAGACAGTCACAATTCAAGTGGGAGAAGTTCAAGTACCAGTGAAAACACCAAGATCGCTGAAAGAGACAGACTTGGTCATTCCTTTGGAAGCTACAATTCTGACTGCAGTTTGTGACTACATCATGGAAGATGCTTCTGATTGCCTGGCCAAAGGCCAAAAGAGGCAATATAATCAAACTGGCAAATATGCTAAAAAGATAGCAAAGGAAGAAGCAAAGTGACCCAGAGCTGCTGCAACTGCAAAAAAGTGTGCAGCTGCAGGTGCGGCCATTACAAGCTCAAGATATAGCCACTACGGGCTGAAGGTGTGTAGCCATTCCAGGCTCCAAATGTATAGCCATTACAGGCTCAAGATGGGTAGCCACTACAGGCTTAATTCATGTAGCCACTACAGGCTCAATAGCTTGCCAATACAAGCATGATGTATCTCTGGTCCAGGAACCCTAGTGCAATTTCTGCAGGCATTGCACCTCAAGCAGTGCCTTCACATATGGAGGGCCACAGAGGGCCTCGCGACTTTTGGGAAAAGTGGGCTTCTGAGCTGGATGTGGCTTGGCTGCTTGTGTTGTCCTCTTGGGTGTTCATGTTTTTTGGTTGGCACAATATTCATTTTCCAAAGCAGCCCAGGCAGAATGGGAAGAGCAAGAGTGGTACAAAGAGCAAGCATCCAAACCTGAAGTCAAAGAGGACAGCTTCAATCCCATTGTAGTTTCAAAGAAAACCTTTTTGTTTCCACATTGCAGGAACAATATGAATGGGTAAAGGAAGAAGTGAAAGAGGAGGATGAAGCCACAGTATCTTGTCTTAGTTTAAACTCGCTGGTGTTGCATCATTGTTTTTCTTCATGCTGAGGAACCTCCAAGCCCACCAGAAGCCACCACAGAGAAGGAGCCTTGGGCTGTGTTGAAAAGCTGCAAGTCCAAGCAATGTACCTGTTTAATTTTCACAGGACTCTGAAAGGAAGAAGAAAAGATTGCCACAACCGGTTTCTTTGCTGCATCAGCAGGCACAGACTCATGCATTCACATGCTTCTGCCACATTCAGCCCCATACAGGCCCAAAAATGATGCCAGTTTTCAATTACAGCCTGTACAGGCTTTGATTGTTGTTACAAGTTGCCTTTGCAATGCTGATGTATTTTTTGGTGAAGCTTAGGTTATGGAGGCAAGCTCCAAGGCAAAAGTCAAGAAGATCACTGCAACAAAACCACCTGCTGTTGCAAGTGCTCCAAGTTCCTCAAGTGGAGTCAAGATGGAGGATTCTGATGAAGAGCTCACCAGGAAGCTCTTGGAGGCTGTGGCTGGCCACCTTCCTGCACCACCTCCTGCAGCAGCTGGTTCGCCTCCTTGTCCTGCAGCTGGGGCCCCATCAGCTTCCACATCTTGGTGGGCCTCCTATGACTGGAATGCTGGTGGTTTCTTTGTGGGTGATGAGTGGTGGGAAAAAGATGCAGAAGAGGAAGGTTTGTGGTGGCGATGGAAGCAAGGAAAAAGCTGGTCAAGGTTCAGAGACCAAACTGTTTCTTGGCATTTCTTAGCTTCAACATCTTGAAGGTTGGCAGTGCATAGTTTTTTGAACTGATTCAGAATGTATCAGTGAGGATCCAGATGGCAAGAAGGTGAGTGGCTGGCTGGCCAAGACTTGCGCTGTGATCCACATGTATACCATGAAGGACCAGGAGGGCATGGAGCAAGCTCTGAGCAGACTGAGTGGCCACCATGCTATGAGGGAACCACTTCGGAAACCCAACAGAGAATTCAAACAGGAAGGCAAAAATGCCTATAAGAAGTGGCTGTAGAAAACGACCTGGCTGCAACAGATGGACTGCAACAGATGGAGGTGAAAAGCAGGTGATCACATTCAGCCTCTACAGGCTTCAGTTGTTTTCTGTGTTTTATGTTGTCACTACAGACAATTCAAACAGCCTGTGCAAGCTCAACAATATGCTGTCAAGATTTAGAGTCTCTACTGACTGCATGGAAATGCATGTCTCAATTCAATGTTGTGTATATAGTTGTTGCTCAAGAAAATCAGTGCCAAGAAAGATCAAACATGTTGGCAAAAAGTTTCAATTTTCTTAAATTCTCATGTTCAGAGCTCATATTTTCAGAATATATATCTTTACAAAACTGAAGAAACTAATATCAATTCAATTTTTTGAATTGAACATTGGAAACTTCAAATTTCAATTCAAAATTTTGAATTGAACATTGAAAGCTTCAAATTTCAATCCAACATTTTGAATTGAAAATTGAAGACTTCAAATTTCAATTCAAAATTTTGAATTGAAAATTGAAAGCTTCAAATTTCAATTCAAATTTTTGAATTGAAACTTGAAGATTAGGGATTCTCTCATACATTTTCATAATTTGTTTCTTTGCAAATTTTGCAACCTTGTCAGCCATGGCCAGAGCTGCTGACTTCAATTTGGAAGTTGCAAACCCTTTCATTTTGGGAGACATCATTCTGGATGGAGATGAAGATTCTCAGGTGACAGTTTGGGAGAATGGAGCTCCCACAACATGGGCATTACAATTTGCCAAATGGAGAATCTACTTCAATGTTCCACTTCCAGATGATATTGAAGTAGAACCTGAAGAAGCCCCTGAAGAGGGTCCAGGGTCTACATCTTCAAGCTCACCTTCCCAAGACTCTACCAATCAGAAGGGCAAGAAGAGGTTGGCTGAAGAAGCAGGTTTGGAGATGAATTAGATTGAAGACATGTTTCTTTTTGAAACATTCTTAGTGCAATGGCTGCATTTTTGCTTGTCTACCTTGCTTGTGACTGCATTGCAGCAGCCAGGCATTAAGCTAATTGATTGGGAAAATTGCTTTTTGTGCCTGTGCAGGCATGTGTGTGACAACCTTTAAGGGCTTATGTTTACTATTACCAGCCTTTGCAAGCTTTGTGCCCATGCTTGTAGAAGCAATCAGACATACAAGACATGCAATAGCAGGTGCATACTTCAAATGGATTAGAATGCCTGTGTAGGCAAGCAGTTGTAAGGTTCAAAAACTTTTGGGATGCTTGTAGCATTTTGACTGCTCAAGCCTGGGGGTAGCACACTGTCCTGGCAGCATGTCTTGGACACCCAATGACATCAGAGCAGAACTCCATTCCATCTCCAAGTTGCTATCTGCAAGACCTGGAGTTTTCGACTTGGAGGTGAAGCTGTGCACAGCTTTGAAGAGAAAACTGCAACTGATGTCCAATGTGTCCAGCACTGACCTGGTCCTTTGCTATGATGCTTTGAAAGAAGCAAATCTTCCTCAAACTATGCATTGTGAATTGATTGCTGTCCTGGACAAGCTGGCTGTTGAAGAAGTGGAGGTCAAAACAGCTGGCAAAGTGATCCAAGGGGCACAGGACTGCAGGACTTTCTACAAGTATTTGACAGAGGAGGACATCAGTGCATTGCAGAAAAGCAATATGTGGGAAGGCTGCACTACTGTTGCAAAACGAATGAAGTTGCTGGGTATCAGGGGAATGAAGGAAAACCTGAAAAGACTTGCCCTGTGGAATTCTGGTTTGGCATGAGCAGCAAAGAACCAACAAGCTGCCCATTCCAGATTCTGTGTACAATCTCTCCCAACATCTGGTGCACACCTTGCAGACTGTTGCAATGGAAGTGCCTGCCAGTGCTTTGAGTTTGGCACAGTACCCTGATGACCCAGGGAGTTTGAGTAGTAGCCATTTTGATGCTTCCTTTCAAGGTGGAAAGCCTATGAAGGCAGACTTTCCAGGCTTGGCTGGCCTCTTGAACTCCAAGGTTGTGCCTGTGAGGATGTCCAGTGCTTCTGTCACCTTGGGGAAGGACCCTTGTCTTTTCAAAGCCTGGCAAATTTTCTTTTGTGCTGCTTGCATGGTCTGCAACTGATCAGCCTGTACAGGCTCATGTATGCACATTGGTTTTTGTTTCATTTTTTTGCCAAGGAGAATGTGCCACCAACTACATCTCCAAAGCAGCAAGTTGAGCCTGCACCTCCCAGTTCTCATGCCCTTGTTGACACAATGATGTGCAGGCTGCTTCAACAATTCAATGCTGTTGGAAACAGCATCCTTGCTGGCAATGGTGTGAAAATAGAATACTTGCAGACTGGGGCTTCTCAAGATGCTGCAAATTCTGGTGCAAGTTCTGCAGGGTCTTTGCCTTTGCCCATTGAAGCACCTACCTCAGTCACTGTTCAGCAGCCTGCTGTCTCAGCAGCCCCTCCTTCCCAGAGCGAAGTCAAAGCAGGGTCCCACAATGATGCTGCTGAAGCTGTCAATGACCAAAAGACTTTGGAGGACTATGAAAACGAAAACATGCAAAAGTTGCTGGACAGGGATGACAAAAAGACTGCTAAAGGCAGAGGCAAAGGTGCTAGTAAAAACACTGCTGCCAAAGGCAGAGGTGGTGGAAAAGGAAGAGGTGTTAGAAAACTTTGCGAAGGCAAGCCCAAGGGTATGAAGAGACCAGCTGCCAGTGTAAGCTGCAGCCACCGAAGTAGCAAGTCACTGCAGTCAGTAGGCTGCTCCAAGTGCAGAGGAAGTGGGTGCACACAGTGCAAGAATCCTGCATTCCAGGGGCAGATGTTTTCCAAGGATGAATGGGCCACAAGAGCCAAAGTCATGAAGCTGAAATAAAGCTTTGCGATCCTTCAAGAATGAAGGCTGGGGTTGTTGGATGTTTCTCAAAGAAGAACATCCTGCTGGGTAAGTTTACACAGCTTAAGGACTGTGCTGGAACATCTGACAAGGTGACATCAGGTTGGGGCTTCCAAAATGAGGGAAAATCTTTGCACCCTTTATAGGCGTGTTTTGCTACAGCCTCTGCAGGCTCATGTGCTCTCAAGCCTGTGCAGGCTCATGTCACATCTGCATGCCAATGCAGGCTCATGTGCGCAAGTTTGTTCAGAATTCCATAATAACTTCTTTTTGCTGGTTGTCTGCCCATTCCTGCAGCTTCAGTTTCCCCAACTTCACCCTTTCAATCCATAATAACTTCTTTTTGCTGCTTACCTGCACATTCCTGCAACTCCAGTTTTCCCAACTTCACCCTCTCATTCCATAATAACTGCTTTTTGCTGGTTGTCTGCACATTCCTGCAGCTCCAGTTTTCCCAACTTCACCCTTTCTTTTTGCTGGTTGTCTGCACATTCCTGCGGCTCCAGTTTCCCCAACTCCACCCTTTCAATCCATAATAACTTCTTTTTGCTGCTTGCCTGCACATTCCTGCAACTCCAGTTTTCCCAACTTCACCCTCTCATTCCATAATAACTGCTTTTTGCTGGTTGTCTGCACATTCTTGCAGCTCCAGTTTTCCCAACTTCACCCTTGCTTTTTGCTGGCTGTCTGCACATTCCTGCAGCTCCAGTTTTACAACTTCACCCCATTGAGCCAGTGATGGCAAGCTTCAACTTCTTCACATGCAAGGCTTTTGGCACAGCTAGAACTCGCCAATTTGTTTTTCAGCAGCTTCATTTCAAGGCAGTCACTTGTGACAGCATGCAAGCCAGTTTGACAAAGAAATAGGTAGGAGAAAGCATACACAGCTGACCACAGCAACTTTATTGGATGACTACTTGAATTCAAGCTATACCATGTTTCTGTAGCTGCTGCAGCAAAGCCATGCACCCTTTCAATGCACCATGGAGGATGGTGGTGAACCTTCCAAAAGGAGGAAAATCAGTGACTTGAGAAATGCTGTGCCTTATTGCTCACAGAGTGCTTTGAGTTTGATCTGTAAGGAAATTGAGAAGCATGGCTTGCCAGACCAGAAGAGAAGGCAAGACATTTGGAAAGAAAACAAAGACTTGCTGGAAAGCACTGCAATGTGCAAATATGGTCCTCTTTTGCAAACAATGGCTGCACAAGTGCTGCCAGAAAAGCAGAGCATATCAGGTGCTTTGGAGACAGGCTCACACTTGGAGATCTTCTATGTGAATATTCTGCCCTTCTTGGCTGGTGTGTGCCACAAATGTGGTTCATTTACTGATTGGCTGCTCAAATTCCACAGTCTGAAGCCTTCAAGTGCCACTCAGCCATGGAAAGCCGTGGTGTATGTGGATGAAGTCCACCCAGGAAACATCCTCAACAGCAGTGGGAGAAAAGCATGGTGTTGCTACATGTCGTTTTTGGAGCTAGGATCCATGCTGTCCAAAGAAGACCTTTGGATTTGCCTCTTTGTTGTGAGGAGCTCAGAAGTTCAGCTACTGGAAGCAGGCATCAGCCAAGTAGTTCGACTCTTACTTGAAAGGCTTTTTGCTCATGATCAGCCTCAAACTGGTGTGCTGCTTTCAAGTGCCAAGGGAAATGTGAGACTTTTTTTTACACTGGGAATGTTTTTGCAAGATGGAGCTGCTCAGAAGGCTGTTTGGGCAAACCGCCAAGACAGTGGTTCAAAGCCTTGCATGTTGTGCAAGAACCTTTTTCATTTAAGGCATGACCATGGTGAAGGTGAACCAGCTGACAAAATATTCAGCCAGTATGTCAAATATTCCCAGCTAGACATTGCCAAAGATGATGAACTCCTGGAAGCCTGGTCCAGGATAGAAGCCAAGAGCAGAACTTCCACAGCAAAGGAATTCCAGAGATGGCAGCAAGCTTCAGGCATTTCTTGGAGCCATCATGCATTGATGGCAAGCCCAGCCTTGAAAGCAGCAGGCTTGCTGAAGCCTGCTTCCCTCTACTGCTTTGATTGGATGCATGGGTTGTGTTCCAATGGGGTTCTCAATGACATTGTCTTTGCAGTTTTGGAGAGCTTAGATGCAGCTGGATACAAAGTTTGGGACACTCTTCATTCTTGGTTGGCGCTGTGGGTTTTGCCTCAGCAGCAAAGCAGCTTTAATCTGTCAAAGCTTTTTGAAAAGCCAAAGGCTGCAAGCTGCAGGAAAGCTAGGCATTTCAAATGCTCAGCTTCTGAGATGTTGACTTTGTACAAACCTTTGCAATATTTTCTTGAAGTGATGTTTTCAGCCAACAATGTGATGCTTGAAGTTTGTGCATGCTTTGATGCTTGGGCACAGGTGTTGGACTTTTTGGTCTCTATCCCACATCTTCCAAATGCTTTGCCTGCAGATTTGTTGACCTTGGTTGAAAATGCATTGGAAGCAACAAAGAATGCTGGATATGGTGAAGAGATGAAACCCAAGCACCATTGGACATTGCATTACAGTGATTGCTTTGGGCGCTGGAGGCAGATGCCTGCTTGCTGGGCAATGGAGAGGAAGCACAAGCTCCCCAGGAGGTATGGCAGTGCACATTGCAATTTGTCAAGCTTTGACAAAGGCGTTTTGACCTCAGTCACTGTTCAGCAGATCCATACTTTGCTCAATGACACAGACCTTTTCAATACAAGTTGCCATCTGATCAACCCTCGACCACTACCAAAGAAAATGGTGGAAAAGCTGAAGGAGCTCAATTTCTTTTTTGAAGGACTGCAAAGTGCAACTGAATGCAAGCTTGCCTCTGGGTCTTCTTGCTCACTTGGGGATGTTGTGTTCTTGCAAGGTGGCATGGGTGGCTTCCCTTGGAGGTGTGGCAAGGTGAAGCACCTCTTGCTTGCTGGAGTACAAGTGTGCTTATTGGAAATGTTCACATTCATTGACACGAAGGGCAAGCATGCAACCATGTGGCACAGCTCAACTGATTGCTTGGAACTCGCCCTGCTTGAAGAATTGGTGCAGCCAGTGGTTCACAACTTTGGGAAGAATGGCAAAGTAACATGTCTGACCCCAGCACCACTTTCATGCTTTAAATGACAAAACCATGTGCTGCAGCTAGCTCGTTGCAATACAGCTTCTACAAGCTTGGATGAACTTAGCTTCTGCAAGCTCAGTGGTCTCAGCTTCTGGCAGCTCAGTGAATTGATGCAAGGGCATGTCAGCTTTAGCTTGTGCAAGCTCAATACAGCCCTTCCTGGCTTCTACAAGCTGCCTTTCCAGCTTTTGAAAGCTCATATTTCAGCTTCTGCAAGCTAGATATTTTGCATGCAGCCTTGGAAAAAATGAACCTGGGGCCTATGCATGCACAAGTTTCACAAGACCCAAGATTTGAATATTCTTGGCCTGAATCTTGCAAAGCAGATTAGCTAAGGTGTCAAAAAATGGTTGGGCCTTTGAACATTTGAATGCCCAGCTGTCATATTAAAAAAAAAAAATACTCTACTTCGTGTGATCCCCACCATGACATGTCAGGACGTATATTTGGACATATATTTAGTATATTCTGACATCCTATCTGACATATATTCTGGCATTCTATCTGGCATATATCCTGACATTCCACCTGGCATTCTATCTGGCAGTCTATCTGGCATTCTATCTGACATATTTTCTGACATTTCATCTGACATATATTCTGGCATTCTAACTGTCATTTATTCTGACATATATTCTGGCATTCTATCTGACATATATTCTGGCATTCTATCTGGCATTATATCTGACATATATTTTGGCATTCTATCTGACATATATTCTGGCATATATGTTGGCATTCTATCTGGCATTATATCTGACATATATTCTGGAATTCTATCTGACATATATTCTGGCATATATTCTGGCATTCTATCTGGCATTATATCTGACATATATTTTGGCATTCTATCTGACATATATTCTGGCATATATGTTGGCATTCTATCTGGCATTATATCTGACATTTTATCTGACATTCTATCTGGCAGTCTATCTGGCATTCTTTCTGGCATTCTTTCTGGCATTCTATCTGGCATTCTATCTGGCATCCTATCTGACATTCTATCTGGCATTCTATCTGGCATCCTATCTGACATTCTATCTGGCATTCTATCTGGCATTCTATCTGGCATCCTATCTGACATTCTATCTGGCATTCTATCTGGAAGTCTATCTGACATTCCTACATGAGGTCCGGCAGGGAACACTTGGCATGGATACTCGCGGTTGAGGTCCGGCAGGGAACACTGGGCGTGTATGGTCGTGGTTGAGGTCCGGCAGGGAACACTGGGCGTGGACGGTCGTGGTTGAGGTCCGGCAGGGAACACTGGGCGTGGATGGTCGTGGTTGAGGTCCGGCAGGGAACACTGGGCGTGGATGGTCGTGGTTAAGGTCCGGCAGGGAACACTGGGCGTGGATGGTCGTGGTTGAGGTCCGACAGCGAACACTGTGGATCGCGAGTCGCAGTTGAGCAGGAGGACGAGGAGGAGAAGGAGGAGGAGAAGGAGGAGAAGGAGGAGGAGGAGGCAACTGACATAAAATCTAACAACCCTCACCTGGCAGGTGGGGAAAAAACTGACCATGTGCAATCTTTTTGAAATCCAAAATGAAAAAAACAAGGCCGAGAGCTATGTTTTTTCAAAAAGCTAACTAGTTAGCTAACTAGTTATAAATAGTTATGAAATAGTTAGCTAAACATCTTAATTGCCATAACATGTTAGCAAGCCCCCAGAACATCAAAGTGTGGAGCCGCTGCGCAGCCTTTTAAGGCGGCCAAACGGCACACTTGAACCCCCAAGAAAAGAGTCTGCCGGCACAGGTGGTGGCCACAGCAGCGCGTTTGCAAGCTGTGTGGAGCCGCTGCGGTGGTGGCCACAGCAGCGCGTTTGCAAGCTGTGTGGAGCCGCTGCGGAGCCTTTTAAGGCAGCCAAACGGCACACTTGAACGCGCAAGAAAAGAGTCTGCCGGCACAGGTGGTGGCCACAGCAGCGCGTTTGCAAGCTGTGTGGAGCCGCTGCGCAGCCTTTTAAGGCGGCCAAACGGCACAATTGAACCCCCAAGAAAAGAGTCAACCGGCACAGGTGGTAGAGCGTTTGCAAGCTGTGTGGAGCCGCCGCGGAGGGTTTACACCGTTTAGGGCGGCCAAATGGCACACTTGAACAGTCTGCCGGCACAGGTGGTGGCCACAGCAGCGCGTTTGCAAGCTGTGCGGAGCCGCTGCGGAGGGTTAGCCCCACACCAAAGGTGGTCCCAGGCGCCGCCCTGCCTAGGCCACAGCTAGGACAGGGTCGGCGGATAAGGTGTCATATATTTTGGGGAATTGGGCACTTCTGAGAATTTTCAAACGTAAGAAACTAATTAAGAACATTTAGGAAGTAAAAGAACAACTTTAGCAAAGGAAAAGGTAAAGGGATTGTTTGAAACAAAACCACCCCAGGAAGCATCT